AAAGTCTTGCGCAAGCTCGGGCGAACGTCAGCCCACCCCACCCCCCATTTCATGTGAGCGTAGCATGAACATCTTAATTGTGCAAGGTCGAAGGAACGTGGTCGAAGGAAAGTGAACATCCCCACCCCACCCCGCCCCAGTGCAAGGTCGAGGGAACGTGGTCGAAGGATGAGCATTAGCGTCAGCGCAGCATGCACACTGTACGTATCTACGTCTGAACATATGCAGGTATATGCATATGTAACATCATATGTACCTACGTATCTAAATGCATAGGTAGATGTGTACGCATGCAAGTCTAAAAGTATGTAACGATGTAATACTATGTAAGCATGTTAGTAATGTGATCCTGAAAGTATGGAAGTATGCAGCACATATGAAGTATGAAAGTGTGCAAATATGGTAGCATGGAGGTATGGAGGAACGTCATGTATATCAGTCAGTACAGTAAGTAGGCAAGCATGTGTGTACGTACACGTGTACAGTAAGCCCTAGAATATCAAGCCACTGAGGTGTACTGCGTGGCGTACTGCCGATAAAATCATAAACAAATGAAGCCTGCGGGCAACTGTCTGACTGTGAGCTGCAAGAACTTCCAGCACAAAGATCCCACGGCATATCATAACTACATTCTTCCTTGTAGTATCTGACATGAAGTTTGCAATAACTTCAATGTTGCATGGCAAGCTCCTGGCGCTGCTGCTTCTGGCGCTGCACGAGCTTTGACCTGCGGAAGCTTCTGGTGCAAGAGCAGCCGCACACTGTAGAATCTCTCGCAACAGGATCTCTCATGCAAATGCAGCGTTTACTTGTGCCACCGACAAGCAGTCAACTTGCCTCTCAGCATTCTTGGCGTCCATTGTGAAGAGCAAATGCCGAATGAAGCGTAATGTTAAACCGTGCGACAACTTGTGGAAGGAAGTGGTTCCTTTTAGCAGCTACTCAGGTTCTGAAATGATTGGAACCGCACTTCTGGAAAGAAATGCAGCCTCTGATAGATTTATTGGAAAACTTGGCATTCAAAAATTCAAACTCAAGAACTGCTTTCGATATTTTGAAGAAAGCAAACTCTGAAAACAATTCCCTGTCCTGTCTACAGCAGCAGACACAGCGATTGCTTTGCCAGCATGCATAAAATCATGGAATGGCCAAGCAGGCTCTTCTGGTCAAGTGAACAGCTGGGGCAGTGTACAGGTAGGACTTCAGAGAAGCACTCTTTTCCAATCAGTTTTGCTTCATCCCTTGGACCCTTTGGACCCTTTGGACCCTTTGGACTCTTTGGACGCTTTGGGCTCTTTGGACTCTTTGCTTTTTGTACAGTCTTGGGAGGCTTCGCCACCTGCATTATCATGTGCGAGACCGAGCCAAGCTAACTCAGGCGTTCTTCCGAAGCATCAGCTTGACAAATTCCTGGCAGGGAAGCATTTGGGTGCATGCGCAGGTGTCTCCCTATCAAATGAACCAGTAGGTAGAAGCAACAGTTCATACAAAGCAGCTCCAGAATACGTGAAGCCAAATTCCAAGAGTGCATGCCCTCCCGCAAGTACAGTGTCCAGATGTGTCCAGTACACGAGGCAAAGATGTACATTGCTTGGTGCTACCACCCTACTTCTATACCCAACTCGCGCCTGGTAGTCCACAAGACCGTCCTATGTATATAAGTCAGCAACGGAGCCCCACACTGGAAACCCTTTCGTCACGACCAAACGTAAGAATAATGCGAGAATGCTGGAAGATTTGCGGACAGCGATTTTTTTCTGGTAAACTGCCTGATGTGACTTTTGCAAATCTACGCATGGTTTCAAGTGTCTTGTCCTGATCTGCAGGATGTTGCGAAGCTGCTTCAGCCCTGTACCTGCCAATCGTTCTTCCTTACGACTCAAATTCTTTCCTTACTATACTGGTAGGGGGGTCCCACCCGAGCACAAAACCTCGCAGACGCCAGATTGACAGAAAAACATGTAAAGACAAAAGGATGCGAAACCGCTTTTCTTTCAGTGGATGTCTTGCAGCAAAAATATTCGCCTTTCACCTTCCACTTTGCTTTGAGGCTGACTCGCTCAGGAAAGTCTCAAACTGCTCATCCGTGAAAGGGTTGTTCCCCAATGTCCTGTCAGACACAAAGAGGCAACGAGCCAGTGACAAAGGAAGCTTTAGCCCACAAAACCAGCTCCAAGGTCTTCAAACGAGCCAGCTGTGCGTCATCTGCTTCCGGAAGTCACTATCTTCGTTTACGCTAATGAAGCCACTTCCGTCTTTGTCAAAGACAGCGAAGGCTTGCATCAGCTTTTGCTGCAGAACAACGTCCTGTTCAGCAGCAACTGTCTGATTCTTATGCGACAAACATATAGGACTTAAGGTGGGGGAAACATCCTCGATCAAGTCTAATGATGCGGAAATGCATTGACAAAACGGATGTGGGAACCTGACGTTGCAGGATTCACGTCTGTATCGAGATAGAAAAACATACTGCTCACAAGTCCGATCGATTCAATCAAGCCAGAACAGTCATATGGACAGGTCTATGAGGCACCTTTCAAGCACAGTGTTTACATGTGTATACTGGGTTCTCCCGAACAGTCTTGCATGTCATGCTGAGTGATAACCAGTCCCTTTACTAATCTCCTCGGCAAACGATTCCCAGAAAATGGCATTGGATAATATTGGATAGAAACGACATTTGACAGAGGAGACAAAGCCACGACGTGTTGTAAAGCATCCTACGTCCGACTTTGATGCCCTTGCGCTGAGAAAGCGGAAACGGAATGAAAGGAGACTTGCAGTGAAATGCAATGCAGGCGGTGCCAGGCAATGCTGTCTTCACCTTTAGTTCTTTGGAAGCGTTAAGATGCGTTAAGTCTGCCTGCTCGTTCATGTTCTTCTCAATTATTAATAATTAATTAAGGTCCTTCATGGAATATTTCCAAATCTTGTTGTCTTGCTATCCTGCCTGCTCTCGCTTGGCCATGATCTGAAGAAAATCTGCCAAGGTCACACTTCCGTGCCTGTCGGGTGTCTGCAGGCTAATCTGATCACTTACCTCACACTTGCAGGGCGCCTGTCTGCAGCAAGATCTCGCATGTCCTGTGATACAGCTACTGAGCAGAATTAGATTGAAAATGCCATATACATCTATAACCATCTATACACCGACATAATACAAATAGCAAAAATCAATTGTTAAAGAATCCATGGCAACCATGTTGCGTCGTGTTGCTGACTTTGGATTCATCGAGTGTCTTGTCCTCATCTGAAAGTGTATGGCCCCGTGATCGCATCAAGATGCCCAGCTCAGTCTTGGCAACGCAATGACGTTGGAACGGGTGGGGCATTTTGAGTCAACTGCCTACATGACTTGCAGGTTGCGGCCGCATTGGGGTGGCGGCACGCAAGCAAATCACTCTCTTCCACTGCTGTCCAAATTATGGGGCGGGCTTAAATTCGAGGCTCCAAATCACAAACGCCAACAAGGGTCATAGGGGCTGCTGGGCCTTCTTAGAGATCTATACAGCAGAAGGTCATCAGGTGGTTTCTGTATCTCTTTGGCTAATGGCGGTTGTGTTGAACTGCTCCTGCAATTTGAAACGTCTCAAAAACGGACCTCCCAAGATCTCCTAAAGTCGGTTTGTCTCCAAGGGATTGCCCTTTGCTCCTGGTGCCTTGATTGATAGGGAATGCTGCATGGAGATCAGGTCCCTGGCTGGCTGGAGCACCCCCGTGTGGTGCTTGTCCATATCGTTAAAGGCCTGTGCTCAAGTTGGTTTCGGGCCACGCGATATATAATGCCAGTAAACTTTTGCACGACAAATTACAGGTCAAAATAATCAACCTAAATCCTTCCAAGTATCTACATCTGTTTACAGGTATATATTTACATTTGTCTATCTTCACAATACCTTTGAGCAGTGGCTTCAGCCTCTGGTCAATTTGTGGATGAATATGCTGATGATCCCTGATTTCCATACATTAGCAATCATGATTCCATACATTAGCAATCATGATCTTGTGAAGTGCTGCCAGGCTTCAGCGGACCTTTGGTCCGTGCTTAACCTGGTCAGATCTAGGCGCCTCTGTGTAGACACGGACTTGCTCTTCAGTCAACCCAAACTCCATGGCCTACCTCCAGGGGCAGATTAGCACCAAAACAAACTATCACAGTTTTCCCAAGGATGCCTTGCCCAACGCATCCTAAAACCAACTTGGGACGAGACTATTGAAAAAGTAGGAGCGTTTTGCCGACGGGATTCCAAGCTATTGGCACGCTTTGCGTGAAATGAATGGAAACTCATTTTTTTGCTTTGAGCTAAAGTAATGCCCAAGAGATGGTGAATGAAGCGCGATGTTTCTTTGAAAGTTGAAAGTTTCCTCACGCGTGCCACAGAATCCAGGTGGATGGATGGTTGGGTGGGTGGATGGACCAAAAACGAATACACCAAAATAGACAAAAGAAAACCTGAACAAAGAGGCAAACGTGCCCTGCGTCTCGAGCACCTCATTGCTGAACTTGAACAGAGGGACAAAAACATCATAGAATATGTTTGACTCCCGACAATATGGGACTCTCACCGCTTGATTTTGTTGGTCCTTATTCTAAGACACGGTAATATGGGTGTGAGTCAAAAGTCGGGTATGGATCGCTCCGCGGTGATCCGTACTATGGATCGGGAATGCTTACGTAAGGTGCCTGATCCGTACCCTTTCGTAAGGGGTCATCATAGCATACAAACTGTGCTGATACTCCTTACTGTTGCTGCTAAAACTGCTACCACTGCTAGTAGAGGGAGCATTAAAAAAACCAGCACCCGCAGCAGTAGTGGCAATAGAAGGAGGAGATGCAGTAGCAGTAGAAATAGCAGTAGCAGTAACAGTAGTACTAGTAAAAGTCATAGTAATAATTAATAATAGTAATCTAATGGCAGTAGCAGCAGCAGCTGCAGTTGTACTAAGAGTAGGATTAGTAGTAGTAGTAGTAGTAGTAGTAGTAGTAGTAGTAGTAGTAG